AAATACTAGCATACAAAACGCGACAGAATGTCCCAAATCAGTCGATATAATAATATAATCACAAGTAATGTTAAAATTATCGGGTATTATCATCAATACACTGACTCCAGCAAACACCCCTGTTTGGACCCCCATTTGATTGTCTGGGTTTTCCCTAAGTCCGCCATGTTTGAGTACGTCATATCTATAAATATCTATTGACTTTGTGTACAACGCAACATCAGGTTGACTTGACTCACTTTATATTGCTTACATCCGCACACGCGGGAAGATTATACGTTTAAACTACCAGAGCAACTAGTACGACAACCGGACATCAGGTGAGTGCTTTCAGTGTAGTTTTTCTGTTTTTTGTGACGAACATTTCAAATGTTTAAAATTTAAAAAAAAAGTACGTGTTTACAAAATCGCTCGATTTCAAAATGGCCGGTTGCTTTCAGCCTTTCGTATGTGCAGGGAATAACAATAACACAACTATAGCCCCAGCACAGCTGCGTCAGACTAAACACTTGTATTTTGAGTCAAAAATCGCCGTGAAACTGCGCAGTATGCTGTGTCCTAACAGTCTGCTTTTGAATAATACGTATACATATCGACGATTTCCACGATTTTGGTTGACTGCAAAATTTGAGGAAGTTAGGATGCGAAATTTCAATTAAATTGTATTTCCTTTCCGCTTAAAATTGTTATAAAATGTTGGTGTTTTCCTGTTGAAATGTTGCTTTCCAGATTTGATATTCTGTTTCGTGAGGTTGTTTTTTCATGAAGATGTGGCCTATTGTAATAGGTTTGTTTACATTTTTTGTGATGACCTTGTGTTCAGGAATTGAAATAGAATGTTTTTTCCCTGCATGCACAGTGTGCAAGTTGAATTTGAAATTTACCTGCACTAACTTGTTGTGAAATGCACCATTTTTAAAGTTTAAATAAAATTTACGGTTTATCGATTGATGATTGATTTTTTAGTTGTCTTACAATGTTGGTTGAACTTAATTTAGGCTCAGTGAATATAATGAAAAAATTTTGTGTTAATTTCTACATGCACAGCGTGCACATTGTATTTTGAGTTTACTTGCACTAGCTAATAATCTATGTGCATAGTGCAGTGTGCACCAGAGTATTTCAACCCCTGG